ATTTAATTCATGTTTTGGGGATTTTGGATTGTGTGTTATTTTCATGTGGATAACTTAATTTTATGAATAGATGAAAAAAACAATGAAAGCTTACCTTGATGAAGCCAAGTGGTGCCAAGAGGACTATGTTCCAACTATAGAGGAGTATATGCAGGTTGCCCTCGTTTCCTCTGGTTATCCAATGCTCATAACAAATTCCTATGTTGGCATGGGAGAAATTGCAACCAAGGAGGCCTTTGATTGGATCTCTAATGACCCTAAAATACTTAAAGCTTGCGCAACTATCTGTAGACTCATGGATGATATTGTCTCACATGAGGTATGCACAGTGCTTGGTTCTTATTAATTACAAATTTAAATTATGGGGTTACTTAGCTTTGGTACTTGTTTAAACACTCGTGGGAGTTAACAACTAATTTCTTTTTCAACCAAATGCAGTTTGAGCAAACACGAGATCATGTTGCATCAGGTGTTGAATGCTATATGAAGCAATATGGTGTTTCAAGGGAAGAGACTGTGAAGTTGTTTCGGGAAGATGTTGCAAATGCTTGGAAAGATATTAATGAAGGGTTCATGAAACCAACAATCTTTCCTATGCCTATACTCATTGTGGTTCTAAATTTTGCTCGTGTGGTAGATTTCATATATAAAGACGATGATAGCTATACAAACTCTCACACTTTGAAGGCTCATATTGACTTGTTGCTGGTGGATCCTGTTATTTTGTGAAGGATTATTGATCCCTAGAAATCCATTTAAATAATTCTATAGCTTGTTATATAGCTTGAAGGTAATGTGTGGGATTGTTTTATATTTTGTTTTGTAATGTATGAGACTGTTCGTAATGTGCTTCGTTTATTAAAAGTTTGCTAATTAATAAAAGTGCCTTATTGAAAATATTTGTTTATAACAATCATATATTATTAAATAAATGAGTACAAATCGGTTTTATATATCTCATTAATTTATATAATCATTATCAACAAATGTCAATTCATTATCAATGGGTGAAAAGAATTAATAAAATTATTACTATAGTGTTTGTTATCTTTTTTTTTTT